CCGTGATTTGAGAGAGCGACCCCCTCGCCTATCTTCTGGCCAATCCTTGTCTAGCATGACTTGCGGAACATTCCAAGCAGTACTCGTAAAAATTAAGGGCATCGAGAGCCCTCTCGCGAAATCGGTGTAATATCCATAATAAGTAAGCAGACAACGAGCTGGACCGTTGCACTGAAATTGCCAAGGTTGATGCTACGTCAGGAAATATGTTGCGGATTTCAGGAGTTCTCCCTAAAATTCTATAGCATCAAATGTGGTTTGTTAAGACTTATGGACGGTGTGTGGACCCATAATTACTCTCCGGCGATTCAAAATTGATACGTACTAATCTGTCAAGCGCAACTCCTAACCTCTACTCCCTATCAACATGCTCGTATATATACACCAGTTTTGCTTCGCCCGCTATCGCGCGCATCACACGGCAGGCTTTAGCGAAATTGGAGGACCCATGGAATATCAGCATGAGATACTCCATTAACCATCTCACTATTGACTGTGTTAGACCCTCCACAGTTCACTGAACTGAATCTCATCGACGCTGAGCTGAACTGGTATATTGATTCACAACTCTGTAAACATCCAGCATTTTTCTTGAATTAAGATAATTTAGCGGTGAATAGGATTGCTGTCAGTCTCAAAATCAAAACGAAATATGCCTATTTACATAAGTGAGGAGCTAATGCTTATCATTCATTTACATTCATCATTATTTAGAACCACGAAAGGATTAGCGGTTTAATGATTTTGGTTTTCTAAATAGTCAGAAATGAAACTTATCATTCGCTGAAGACTTGTTTTTAAAATTTATGCAGTCGAATTCTATTAAGTAAGCTGGACATATATATCGAAATAATGTGCACGTACCTTTGTTTGTACTACTACGACTTACTACAATTTGTAAGTAGGAACGCTCTAGTGTCAACGCTGCGTAACGGAACTAACGACTTTTGCGTTCTGACGCGCCTTATCGGCCCTTATCAATCGTTATCAGTTTCTGGCACCCACCAACAAATGTTCCGTCACCCCACATAACACTTGTAAGTATGGTTGCTCTGGTGTCAACGCGAGCCAGGCAACGGAATCGACGACTTCAGCGTTCTGGCGCGCCTTATCGGCCCTTATCAATCGTTATCAGTTTCTGGCACCCACCAACAATGTCCCCGTCCCACCCCACATAACACTTGTAAGTATGGTTGCTCTGGTGTCAACGCGAGCCAGGCAACGGAATCGACGACTTCAGCGTTCTGGCGCGCCTTATCGGCCCTTATCAATCGTTATCAGTTTCTGGCACCCACCAACAATGTCCCCGTCCCACCCCACATAACACTTGTAAGTATGGTTGCTCTGGTGTCAACGCGAGCCAGGCAACGGAATCGACGACTTCAGCGTTCTGGCGCGCCTTATCGGCCCTTATCAATCGTTATCAGTTTCTGGCACCCACCAACAATGTCCCCGTCCCACCCCACATAACACTTGTAAGTATGGTTGCTCTGGTGTCAACGCGAGCCAGGCAACGGAATCGACGACTTCAGCGTTCTGGCGCGCCTTATCGGCCCTTATCAATCGTTATCAGTTTCTGGCACCCACCAACAATGTCCCCGTCCCCACCGTAATTTTGGTGTTGACCCCGAGATCCCACACAAACACTGTAAGTATTGTTCTCTGGTGTCAACGCGAGCCAGGCAACGGAATCGACGACTTCAGCGTTCTGGCGCGCCTTATCGGCCCTTATCAATCGTTATCAGTTTCTGGCACCACCAACAATGTCCCCGTCCCACCCCACATAACACTTGTAAGTATGGTTGCTCTGGTGTCAACGCGAGCCAGGCAACGGAATCGACGACTTCAGCGTTCTGGCGCGCCTTATCAGCCATTATCAGTTGCTATCGCTTCCAATCATGTACCACCAATGTCCCGGGACCGCCCCACATAACACTTGTAAGTATAGACGCTCTAGTACCAATATGAACGACAAAACGAAATTGGCGATGCTCGCTTTCTAGCCCCTCTTATCAGCTATTATCAGTCGTTATCAGTTCCTATCACGTACCACTTGTGTCCCCATCCCACCCCCTATAACATATGTAAGAACCACTGCGCTATCGTTACTGTGACTCGAGCTATGAATTTCCGTCAACACACACACACACACACACACACACACACACACACACACACACACACACACACACACACACACACACACACACACACACACACACACACACACACACACACACACACACACACACACACACACACACACACACACACACACACACACACACACACACACACACACACACACACACACACACACACACACACACACACACACACACACACACACACACACACACACACACACACACACACACACACACCACACACACACACACACACACACACACACACACACACACACACACACACACACACACACACACACCACACACACACACAACACACACAGCCGTCGAGCGAGGAGGGGTGGAGGGTATATACGCACATTGAAACCGCAAATTTTTTCCCACGCGCTTCACACAACACTCCAGTTTCACCTCAATTTCACATACGATTTCGCGCGACTGCAGCAAGTACGACCCCCCTACAAACTCAACAAAATACGACCCACCTTGTCCCAACTTAGGGTTGACCCTGGCTCCATGGCAATAGCTGAGCAGATTTTGCCAAAAGGGAGTCTTTGCAGGCAAATAAACGCGTATGGAAAGTCTCACGTCAAATAAGGACTAGAAATGATTCTGTTCACAAAAGACGTTCGGTGCCAGACATGGCTAGTAAGTCCATGAAGGTTTGAATTTCGCTTGTGTGGAGAAGCTATGGAAAGCTTGAGAGCTTCGCTGAGCACGCTCTCCCCACTTTACCACGCTCGCATGCCCTCACGAAGCTGGGAAGGTGACGAGAGTCAACGGGCAAACGAGCGGTACTCTCCCACTTTCCTGCACTGTCGACTTGCTTGTGCATCATTGAAACCGCTGGCGCATCGTTCAAACTACAAGCCCATCGCTCGTTACCCGCAATTCGCCAGTGACTCGCTGGATAAAGTCTGACGCCGGTTTGAAGCTAAATGAAACCTACTTGCTAAGACAGATGTGAGCTGGGATCTCCTTCAGTTTGGCGACGACATTCGGGAAAAGTGCCATGGGAAAGCGTTTTGTGCCTTCAATCGCGCAGATGATTGTGCTATCTGGTGGTCCAAGGCTTCTAAAAGCAAATGTTAAGGAAATTGTGTTGCAGGGCGGACCATATTTTCCTGAGAAGGTTTCATCAAGCTTTGAGATCTTTGATTTCGAAGCCCTGAAAGTACTATTTCGAGAAACGTGAAGAAAGCACGCACGAAACTTTGTGGAAATTTGGGTCTGAAACGAAAAGAAAGTAACTACTCGAAATATTTAATATCATATTAATGATAATATATCTATTTTTATTTCTTTTATTGAATTGGTTCTCTGAGCATTTTGAAGCTTATTCGCCATGATTATGAAAAAAAGAGTAGATAGAGAAGAATTAAACTCACGCAACAATATCTTCAACAAGTTGCAGGCACCTTGATTGTTCAACACGAAAAACATTCACTGAGAAGACGGCTCCAACCGGTCGATGATCAGACGTTTTAAGTTCCGAGCGGAAGTACCTGAGTAGGTATGTATTCATTTCTGCTGACGTTGATCAATACTGCTAATTCTCTCACCGTATCAGTTTCGTGCATTGAGGGTCTCGCCGTTCCCGCCACAGTACTCGATCGGTCCATGCAGGAGTACGACACTTCTCACTCGTATCGTAATCATCAGAGAATGTGTCATACTTATAAGTTGGGGGAAATGACAGCCTGCCTTCTTGGAAGTTGTGGAACACCTGCAAGTGAAAGCTCAACAATTTATAATACATGCGGAAGTAAAAGAAATTCAACAAAAACAAGTAACTTCCACTTTTCCAAGAGGTTTTGGAAAAAGTGGAATGATGGTTTCTGAATGTTACCATCTTACAACAATCGAAGGTTCAGGTCGCCGCCAAGAAGTTGGATGTAAATAAGTAAACAATAGTACCAGGTGAGAAATCGCGATCGAAACACCTTCCGCGATGAAAGACAATTAGGGTAGTGGATTTCAAATATGGAACATGGGGTTCTTTGTAATTCTATAACGAAGCAAAAAGCAAAAGAAGCTGTCGAACGCGCATCGAATTAGACTCTCCCTTTTGCTAGCTGATTCGAAGGATTGCGCCGGTGCACGTTGAGAAAATCAGGCAACGAAATGACACACAAGAAGAGAAAATGACAGACACGCTTATTAAGTCACACACACGTCATTAAACATGACCATTAGGCCTCAGCCACCCTTGCCGCAATAATGATACATATCGTTTCTATTCCCTCCTCAGGGTCGACCGTCCGTTTGCATTATTCGAACGAGAGGGTCGCATTTGCGAATTTGGGAGTGGAGGTCGCATTTTGGGGTGAGCGTGGGTAACTACCTCTGATAAAGTTAAACGGGGTCGATAAGTAAGTAGGTAATGGGTTTTTCAACGAGTTGATGGAGTAGAGTAAAGTAAACAAAATTAGTGAATTCGCCGCCTTATATCAACCGCCCCTTCCCCGCCCTCCGCCCGGCTCGACGGCTTTTTGGTGAGGGACGGTGGGCGAGTATGTCATATCAGGAACGAATTCTATAGAAACCTATAGAAACAGCCATGATGGTGAGGATTGGTGGAAGGGGTAGGGAGAAGGAGTGTCGCACTGACGGAGTCCCTAAGGCTGATGGTCGTGATAAGAGGTCGCAGAATTTTTGGAAAAATGTGAACGCAACGGTTCACCTTGTTCCACCTGACAATCTCTTCACTATGAAACTTATCACAGCCCGCGACGCTCAACTGTTTCTTAAAAAATTTCCTCAAGACTTCACATTAGCAGCTTACAAGCATCTCATGACTACTGCATTGGCTTCTTTCCAATTTCTACAAAATTCCTTCTAATAATTCTTTTTTTTATTTTTCTGGGGTTTATGATCTATCACACCGTCTGCAGTTATTTCAACTAAACAACGAACAGCTAAACTTACCATGCCTTGAGATTTCTGCAGCAGCAACTGGTCATACGGCCATAATCTCTCAATATCGTCGGAATATACGGCCTTTTTCACATCATCCCCGCTCAAGTTTATCCTGCAAACACAGGATATTACCCGAAACAACTTAAATGCTAGATTTATTCGGGTCAGGATGTCGGCAGCGCTAGCCTTGTGACTTAAATTTTCCACATGGTCAATTTTAACACAGGTTATTTACAATTATTCCCTGCAATGACTCTGCTTGAGCCGTGAACGATGATGATTTGCTCCGCAGAATGAGACTTACCTTTTCTCAGTTAATTTTAGATGAGTTTTCGGCTTTAGGAGTGGTTGTTCGGGTAAGAGTACTGCGAAAGAATAGACAACGCGACAACATTGCAACGTACGTACGTTTGATGCTTGATTTCAAAATAAAATAATAATTCAAACGTAATCGCTTCACGTCTCTTAATATCAGTTGTAGCGGCGGTTTTGAATTTGGTCTCAACTGTGCGGAATAGCGCTCCCCTCTGCCTGGGAAAGCCGCTTTAAGGCTCCCTTACGACTAACTATCGCTCATGTGTGTTTAGCTTCACCGTTACCACTACCTTTATCGTACTCTTACCCTATAAGGAGGTCTTTCAGGGCAAGGTGCGCTTTTTGGAAACGGTTTAGTACATGTTGTAGGGACGCATGTATGGACCACAAAACCATGTTTCGTTTTCGCTGAACGGTTTTAGTAGTACCAAAAAAGTGGTGAATAATACTCTTGATGGTTCAATCCCCCGCGGCGACTAAATTTTGCAATCAAGGTTGGCGGCCACTTGTTGGCTTCAAAATGGTCCTGACGATGAATTGACATCTGATTTTGATATTTAGCGCGATTTGGCACCAAACCGTAGGCGCCAACCCAAATGCAAAATTTAGTCGCCACGGGGGATCGAACCCTTAACAGTACCTTATGCTTCTTTTTTGGTACTGCTAAACCGTTCAGCGAAAATGAAACATGGTTTTGCGTTCCCTACATGCGTCCCTACAATATGCACAAAACCGTTTTGAAAAAGCGCACCTTGCCCTGAAAGACCTCCCTTGTAAGACCTCGAATGAGGACAAATGGCCTGAATGAACACTGGCTACACAGTTCGCCTTGTTGACGCAACCTACGCTACAAATGCGAACCATTAATTTGCAGAAGCTTTGAAAAAAAAACTAGTAGTCACCTGTAATTAAAATCTCCAAACCAGAACACGACATCGTGGGAATCGATGTCCCTTCCATGAGGGAACTTGATTCTCCGATAAGCAGAAGTGTAATCTTCATTACGATCCCTTACCTAAACCAGAATCAATTTCGTTGATCGGTATCATGAAAGTAATTATGAACAGCTACAAGTATTACCACTATAATTTTTAATTCTTTTAGCGTCGCTTTTTAGCCGTGCACTTGAAAAAAAACACAACATAGTTAAAAATTAGCATTGACAAATCGCGCTGCTTATACACAAAGCAGTTCAAAGGTAGCGTAGCATGAACCATAGGGAAGAAAACGCCTTTGCTTTCGACAAGAGCTTTCTGCAGACACATAAAAACATGATGCGACCCTCGGGAAATATCGCGGAAGCGCCGGCAATATCGTATCAAATCCGAATACCCTCCCCTTCAAAAAGCGAGAAAGTGTCGGGTGCAGACCATGCACCACAAGTGACGACGGCCTTCACAAAATGTTAATGTTTTCTGCCAATGTTGCAGTTGTATTCTTTCGATTGTCACTAATTACAACTATCATTTACCAAAATCAGCTATCACTATGAAGGCCGTCGTTAGTTGTGGTGTTTGGTCTGCACCCGGCAATTTCTCGCTTTTGAAGGGGAGGTTAAGTGAGGAAGAAAAGTACAGTCCATATCTCGAAGTCTGATTGGGCGTGTCACCGGAAATGACGTGGCAGCCACCGCACTTGATAGAAGTTGCGCGGATAAGCTGCTTCCAACACGCTTTGCTGATATCTGGCGGAGTATTTTATCCACACGACATCTATCAAGTGCGGTGGCTGCCACGTCATTTCCGGTGACACGCCCAATCAGACTTCGAGATATGAACTGTACGTGACCTTCTGTTGTTAATTGCGTAATCAAAGACGTCCTGCTCCATGATGACGCTTCATCTTTCCGCTCCCACCATCGCGTCAACAAACTTAGTTCCCCCTTTCTCGCCTCTGGGACGTAACGATGTGCTGTGCATAATGTCCATTGTATTGTAATTGCTTGTTCGCAAGCATAGCAATGAGCAGGGGCCAAAGGAAGATGACAGAATAATTTTGCCGCTGTTTGAAATGAAAGGTGTTCCAAATGGTGCGACAGCGAAGAAAAACCAAAAGAGATGGCCTGAAACCCACAAAATGTGATCCTTGCTTCCCTTTTGTTTTCGGCGCTAGACAGCTTGCAAAGACGCCGATGCTTTCAAAGGAACGCTCTACTCTGGCTATTCACTTTAGGGGTCCAATAGTTAGGGATCAGCAGCCGTCGGGGGAGAGCAGAGGCACGAAAGTGTCCGCAGGAACGGAACAACACTTATTGTTAGTACGTCGCATGGGTCCATGTTTTGCCACGAAAGCGCCATAAATCGTTCGCTGAGACGCCCGGTCCCCTTCTATGATATGCAACTTTCCCTCTTCAACATCAGATTTATCGTGCCTTTTCCTTTGAGCAGAACGATCGTCAATAAATAGACAAGGAATTTTGGAAGAACTCATTCACTACCATTTTTCTTTTGCATACTTACCCTCGCCTTCAAATGACCAGAAATTGTGCAATTGCAGAAATTGACGTGGCATTGGCACACGTGGCTAAATTCTCGATGAAAAGGTGACATCACGTGTGCTCAAAGATGTTCTTGAATCGATGCCACGTCAATTTCTGCAATTGCACAATTTCTGGTCATTTGAAGGCGAGGGTACGAAATGCAAAATGATTGAAGCTATCAGGTACTTGGACTGATTACAAAAAATGACGATCGATTGATCAATGGCAAGAGGCAACTTCTAAGAAGCGATCATGGTATCCTATGAGTTCACTTCATACTTACCCTCCTCCCCTCCCCCTACCTTCCCACTCCCCCACCCCCTCCCAACCACCGTACAAAAGGCCAATGGTGAATCAAGACACTGTGTGAGCTTCGTTTAGAGGAAGACGAAATGAAGCGAAATGGTAACTA